AACCCTCGGTGCTCGATCTCAGACGCTAAACGTAAAACTTTGGCCCCTAAACCCTCATCTCTCAACCGTAAATCCCAAACCCTAAACCCTAAACCCTAAACCCTAAACCCCAAACCCTAAACCCTAAACCCTAAACCCTAAACCCTTACAACTAGGGAAGAAACGAATGAGAGAAGAAGGAAACTCAAAGAGGAGCTGATCGAGGAAGGGTTTGTTGCTGACGAGGAGAGAAGAAGGGTAAGCAAGTCTGCGGTGTACATACACCCCAACACACAAACCCTAAACCCTAAACCCTAAACCCTAAACCCTAAACCCTTTTTTTAGTTTTATCACGCTGTATATAGCTCGTCAGCTAGAACTCGAAACGCTAAACCCTAAACCCTAAACCCTTAAAAACGGCTGTACTACAGCATAAACCCTTTCTTAAACCCTAAACCCTAGCCAACAACCTATTAGGGTTTAGGGTTTAGGGTTTAGGGTTTATTTACTTTATGATTTGTAGTTTAATATCTTCTTGTGTAGATGTCTCGGGGAAGAAGAGAGTGAGATAGTCTTGCTGCTCTTTCTGTGCTGCTGTTGCTGCTGTTGCTGCTGCTCCTTCTGCTGCTGCTGCTGCTGCTGCTGCTGCATCTCCTGCTGCTGCTGCTGCTGCTGCTGCTGCTGCTGCTGCTGCTAGCGGGATACGCTGCTCGTAACGAAGAAAGATGCTGCAGCTCCTTCGGTCCCCCTGACGAACCCCCGTTCTCCCCGTTGCTCGAACCTGCACAAACCCTAAACCCTAAACCCTAAACCCTAGACCCTAAACCCTAAACCCTAGACCCTAAACCCTAGAAGCTTATCTAGATGCTAGGACACTGCAATCGAGAGAGGAGACAGCAAACCCTATTCGCTTCACTCAGTCCAAAACCCTAAACCCTAAACCCTAAACCCTAAACCCTAAACCCTAAACCCTTGATTGCGGTACCTTAACAAACAAAACCCTCGGCTCTAATAAAGACAAACGAGAGAAAGCTCGCGATACACCCGAAAAAGCAACAGAGACAGGGGAGCTGTCTGTACACCTGGAGTCCGCTAGCAGCACCAACGCCGTCCTGAAAACCCCAAACCCTAAACCCTAAACCCTAAACCCTAAACCCTAAACCCTAGCCCTTCATCACACAACAAATGCGAGGAAAGGGACGTCAGGATTCATCTTTTTTTTTTGGTGGTTTAGGGTTTAGGGTTTAGGGTTAATAACATTGCACCGGAGAGCATCGAGGGTTTGTTGTATGGGGGTTTAGGGTTCAGGGTTTAGGGTTTAGGGTTTGGGGTTTATGCTACTAACTTGCAGCCAAAGGAACTCTCTAATTGCGGGTTCCGCGAAAGGGTTTAGGGTTTAGGGTTTAAGGTTAGGGTTTAGGGTTTACGGCTAGGGTTTAGGGATTAGGGTTTAGGGTTTGTGGGTAGGGTTTAGGGTTTAGGGTTAGGGTTTAGAGTGAGGGTTTGAGGCTAGGATATAGAAAGAAGGCTTAGCATAGGTTATTAGGGTTTAGGGTTTAGGGTTTCAGTTGAGGATTAGGGTTTAGGGTTTAGTGTTTTAGTTGAGTGCTAGGGTTTAGGGTTTAGGGTTTAGGGTTTAGGGTTTACGGTCTTTTCTGTAGCGCCACCTGCAGGGCTTCTTCGGTGAGCTCAACATAATCACCAACCTCAACAGCATTGAGGGTTTCTGTGTTTTCCTCTGCTGCTGCTGCTGCTGCTGCTGTTTCTCCTGCTGCTGCTGCTGCTGCTGGTGCTGCTGCTGCTGCTGCTGCTGGGGGGCTGCTGAGGTAGGATATCTCCTCCTCTAGCCAGCTGTGAGCGGGGCAGCTCTGCTGCTCGGGTGTATGTACACTGTGTGGTTCGCTTGCTGCTGCTGCTGCTGCTGCTGCTGCTGCTGCTGCTGCTGCTAGCGGCAGCAGCAGAGGGAGAAGGCGCGTCATTGCGCCGCTGATGAAGGGGTCGATAGACCCCTAGTTTTCGTGTATTGAGTGCTGCTGCTGCTGCTGCTGCTGCTGCTGCTGCTGTTGCTGCTGCTGCTGCTGTATCTGCTGTTGTTGCTGCTGCTGTTGTTTCTGCTGCTGCTGCTGCTGCTGCTGCTGCTGCTTGAGGTGTACAGACAGCGGACTACAGCAACAGGTGCCTATACACCTGAGCAGCAGCAAACGCTTGCATGCGTTTTATGTTTCTATTTGTGTAAATTATATTTAATTAATAAATTAATAATAAAATAAAATAAATAAACAAAAAAAAACAGACAAAAAAAGAAATATACACTATACACACCGCCACACCAGCAACCGCCTACAGGGGCCCCACACCGACAGAGTTTTTTGTGTTTTTGTTTGTTTCTTTATAAAAAAAAACAAAAAAAACAAATTAAATAAATTAAATTTATTAATTTTATACAGTAAATAAAGAAAAAAGAGAAAGAAAAAGAACAGATATGTGGCTGAGGGGTTGAGGTGTATGTACACCTCACCGGGCTGTTGCTGCTGT